CCAGGAAAGTAGTTACCAATTTTCTTATGGACTGTGTGATTTAAAATTTTATTTTCATATTAAAAGAGCTTCAATTCAGAAAATGGTATAAGGCTCAAACTTAACAGAGATAAAAGCTACTAACTAAACTGTTAAAGTTGGTTAAGACATGGAAGCTAACAGTCAGAACTATACTTAGTCATGCTAAGTCCAAATTAACTAATTATAGTAATAACCTTTATCTAGCCTCCTAAAGCTCAAGGTTCTCAAGGTTAAACCTAACACAAGTAAATTTAACAGATGGTCCTCACATTCTTCAGAGATCTGCTGACTATGGCATTTTAAATGTTTATTTAAAAAACTTCCCATTATATGAGAAATTAGAAGGAACTCTAAGATCTCCAAATAGAATGGGACACCCACTTTCCCACCTGGGTTGCAGTAACACTAATCACTGAGAAAAACTTCCCTATGCTCGCCTGTTGCCAGGAATATGCACAAGGCTGTGAACACTGCTGGGCTAACTGCTCTACTCTGCTTGGTCAAAGAAAGATCAGCCTCTCAAGTTCCTCATCTACATGAAAATCTCATGGACCTGGGTCTGGCAGTCAAAGGCCTACTGCTCTGTGTGACTCAAGATCAAATGCTGTCTTGTAGGACAGATGAATACTGACCATTGCCACCAATGAAGTTTGAGACCACATGAGCCTATGGCAACCAACTAGGTAGTAGGTATATCTCTGTCATTTTAACTGATACATAGGCCGCTTGGATTATACTTCCTACTATAATTTATCCTTCTCAGATCTCTGATGGCATTTAAGGCAAGAAAAATGTAGATTTATCAGTTTAGCAGCAGCAGGCAACCAGCTCCTTCCTAGAGGCTGCAACTACCTTGTAAGTTCATTTCATATGTAAAAATCAGGCCTTGCTTTTTCCTAGAGCTCCTAGACCTTCTGCTGAGAAAGGCAGACAGGTTTGCCTTGCTAGAAAACTTTATATTAAAGACTAAACAAGTTTCAGATGTAATTCTTTTAAATATTCCTTTATTTATTTAAAAGAACTTGCTTTACAATGACTGCTCTCAGTAACTACTTGTGTCTCTGGTAAATGACTAGATGAAATTAAAAGGTTTTATCTTTATATAAATTCTGATGATCTAAGAAAATGTTATAAGGTGTGCAAAGGTCTGAGGATGTGAAAACGTTTATGTAATTTCCGAGTGTCTAAGAAAATGTTTTAAGGTATGTAATACAAGTTGTAAAAGTATAAGAAAGAGATTTAAGTACTAATGTTTCAGATTTCCTCCTTCCTCTTTATGCTATTGTTATACTAAGATTTCAGTGTCAGAGTTTTAGCACTGATCAGTGAAGTCTGGTAAGCTGTTAAAGCACTACCTACTATATACTACTATCAGTCACAAGCTCAAAATTTCTATTTTCCTTTTGTTATCATCAAAGTATAGACTTAAAAGTGCTTCTCATCAGGCTAAAAACACCTCTGTCCAATCTATACATATCTAATTCTCTGGACAGAGAAAAGAATTTTCATGCTTTTTTAAGTCAGCACATAGCTTTTGCTATAACTCAAAGGCATGAGTCTACTCCAGCTGTTTTACAGACATCTGTTAGCTGCTTTTTCCACATTGTGGATTTTAGAACAGGTTACAAATAGTGGTAATGCTAATATAGCTAAAACTTTTATCTCTTTTTGTAAACTGAAAATTTTATGTAAGCTTCAGGAAGTTGAGGAAGTCACACAAGTTGGAACCACCTCTCACAGGTCAAATGACCCCAGATAAGTACAGCCTAAGTTTCCTACCTTCCCTACCTGCTTGCCCCTGAGGGTGTGATTATGCAGCCCGCCCCTCCTTGGGACGCCTCCCTCCACAAGGACAGTGGGCCTGAAAGTTCCAAATGTAAGATTTTCCTTTACATTCCTAAACTGTAACTTCTGTGCCCAGTCTGTATCTGTCTCAGCAGATTTCCACTTGGCTGACAGACACCATCCAAAAAACAGCTGCTGACTACAAATTGTTCCAAATGGCTGCCAGGATGTATGCCTGCCCCTGACTGGACAAAGCAGGAAAAACAGAGCCTTTATAAGTGTGGAAAACTAACATAGTTTGTAGCCATTCTCTGGTAATTCCTGAGCATAGACCTGACCAGCGCCCATCATCCTGGCCAGTATTTAATAAAGCTTGCTTCAAATTTGGCTCAAAATTGTGGTAGTGGTCTCATTCTTTAATCAGTGGGATTAACAAGACCTCTTACAAACATTAACAGAAAGTTACAATAACAAAGAAAAAGTAAAGGTTCAAATCTTCCCTTTTATTTACTGCCTTGTTACCTTTTCCCCATTTCTCTACCCCTCTGGTGTGTATTTAATGTGTACATGGGGCAGGGGAGATATACAAACAGTCAAGTGTGCAAGCGTGCTCTCATATAAAGATCAGAGGACAACCTTGTTGAAAGGTTTCAGTTTCCACACATGGTGTCTTTGTTTGCAGTTGTGTACTCTGCCTCTCATCTTGCCAAGTGAACACTGGATTACAGACACAATCCAGCTTTATGTGGGTGCTAGGGATTCAATCTCATGCCTCCCACACTCACACGGGAAATGCTTTACCTACTAAGCTACTACTCAGCCCTATTTTTTCTTTCATTTCTTACAACAATGCTAACTAGAATTAATCAACTCTTAAAAATTATTACATTATCTGTGTGTATAGGTACCCAGAGGCCAGGAGAGGGAGATGGATGCACTGGAGCTAGTTACAGCTAGTTAGGAGCCGCCTGAGTCCTAGGAGCCAAACTCTAGTCCTCTGCAAGAACGGCACTTTAAAAGTGCTGAGGTATCTCTCAAGCCCATTTGATCAATTCTTAACTAATATTACTATGGAAACAATTGTGACAAAAGACTGAATGTTTTTCCTTTGAGATAGGAAGATGGCCAAGGATATTCACTCTAACCATTACTGTTCAGTCTGGCATTATAGACTGTTGCCAGAACAATAAAGAAACTGCAGTGAAATGCACCTACATCAGACAAGGACAGTCTTTTTCAATGGATCACATAAATGTAAAGAAATCCTATAAAATCTACAAAAATCACTACCAGAACCAATAATTGAGTGCAGTAATACTACGGACGTCAAAGTCAACATTTAAAATCACCTTTTTGCACATTAGCAATGAACATTCAGAAAGAGAAATAAAAATATTTTTATAATAGTATCAAAAATATGAAATACAGATGCTCATGCATTGTAAAACTATACGAGACCACCAAAAGAAGAAAATATCAGTGAGACATTAAAGCTGGATTAAACAGAGAGATACAGTCTTGCTTGATGAACAACCCTGTATTATTAAACTCTGCCTTCCTCTCCTGGGAACCAAACCCAGTTTCTCATATCACAATACTGTTAAAATTTCAATCTTATTTAAATCTATCTATAGATTCAACATAATCCCAAACAGAATTTAAATAAGCTCTTTTTTATAAACTGATGCAATAATTTTTAAAAAGATATGAAAATGAAAGAAAACTAGATTAACCAAATATACATTTAAAAAGAAGAACAAAACAGAAGGATTTATACAATTTGATTTTGGAACTTACTATAAAGCTACAATAATCCATAAAGTATGGTACTGGTGGAAGGTCAATGGTACAGACCTATCTATCTACCCTGAAAAATACAGGATAACTCCACTACCCAAGAGGGGAAAAAAGCACATATCCTCCCTGAAAAACTACGTGCAAATGGTAACACGAGTCACTTGATTCAATTTCCAACAGGATCACACAAAGAAAAGTAGTAACTGTAAGTGCAAGAGTGTAGATGAATTTCAAAATAATCATGCTGAGTGAAAGACAGGAACATAAGAGAATGGAAATGTACAATTCCACACATGTAAATACTAAAATATATAAACTCCTCTACAATACAAGTTACTTTAGTAGTTTCTAGGGGGGAAACTGATAAAAAAAAAAAAACCAGAATGAAAAAAAGTTCCAGGTGATCCAGTATGTTCTTTTAAGTGATAGATATATTTTATTATCTTAATAGTTTTTACATAAGTAAATATGTTAGCTTTTGTCAAAATGGATGTCTAATTACAGCATACTGCTGTAAATCACTCCCCAATAAAGGAGAGCGCACATTCTAAAACCATTGTTGAAAGTCAACTCTAGAATGAGCAGAGGTTTTTTTCCCCCCAATCTGCTTTTATACCATTTTAATTACATGCAAGTATTAAGGTCAGTTCTAGGTTGAGGAACTAGCAATACATAGATGCAAATAGTCGAGGATCAAGCAAGACAATAAACACAAATAGTCAAAGAATAAGCAGGGCAATAAACAAAGTCCCCATCACTTTTTCTAAGGGCTTATCAGGATGATCAAAATATCTGAGCCTACTTCCCTGTCAGAGCCCAAAGTCACTTTCATGCCCGAAGCCTAATTCTTTGTTCTAGCCTAAGATTTAGATTTCTTCTTGAAATTACTTCTTTGTTCTAGCCTAATGTCAGATTCCTGCCTGAAGCCCATTTCCTTGTCCTTGGCCAATGTCAGATTCCAGGCAAGCAGCCTTTCCCCCTTTTTATTTCATACACAAGACTGAGCCTGTTTTAGGTCGTTCCGACAAGAATGCCTTTCTTACCCATCGAGGAATATGCATTATCAAAAGCAATGCACTTCTTAGGTTGGTAAAGCTCTGTGCAGAATCTTACTGGTCCTTGGATTGGCAGCCTGTTAAATTAATAACTCTCTCTGGGGGGATCCATTTTCAGTTTCAAGTCACATATTTTGGCCGCCAACATGTTGATGTGCAGAGTTTTAAACTCTGGGTCTGATATTGGTTAACAACTTTTGCAGCACACATTAGCAAAATCCATCCATGAAATTATTCCTTCATATTCACAACATCTTTGATGAGACTGGTGAGTTTTTACTAAACAGTGGGTTCCAGATAAGTAAACATCAAAAAAAGCACACAGAAAATGAACAATCATACCTTGATTTGTGCAAAGGGTCTTTCATAACCTCCAACATAGAGAAGGCCAACATTCTGTGGAAGCAACCTACAAGGTGAAAAAAATAAAATAAAATAAAACCTCATTTATAAAGTACTCTGCCTTTGATGCAAGAATGCATAATAATAAAAAGTGGGGAAACTGGAGCAGTAACTTCATCAGTAAAGTGTTTGCTGCAGAAGCATGAAGACCTGAGCCCAATGCCCCAAGAGCCAGGTGTGGTGGCAACAGCTTGTGATCTAAGCACCAGGAGGCAGAGACAGGACCAGCTGCTAACCAGTCCAGTCTTACTGCCAGGTTTGGGGCCAAAAAAGAGACCGTCTAAAAAAAACAAGGTAGATAGCATCTAAGAAATAATACCCAAGGTTGATTTCCCTAGACAGACAGACAGACAGACAGACAGACACACACACACACACACACACACACACAGAGAGAGAGAGAGAGAGAGAGAGAGAGAGAGAGAGAGAGAGAGAGAGAGAGATTTCTCTAATAGATACTATAAAGCATCAATACACAATCATTGTCTTTTGAACAGTGAGATAGTAACACTAAAGGAATACTTCTATTGCCAAGAAATAGAGTGGGGTAAAATGTTAGAATGGGGCTAGGATGTACCTCAGGCAGGTAGGATATTTGCCTAGCATGCATGAAGTCAGCACAACATAAAACAGGGTGTGTTTTCAGAGGCTTATAATCCTAGCATTCATGAGATGAAAGCAGGAAGATTAAAGGTTTAAGGTCAGCTTTTGATACACAAGAGAGTTCAAGGCTAGCTTGGGCTACCTGCTTCTACATCTCAAAAAACTTAACACTCAACAATAATTCTAATAAAATTACTAGTGTCTCTGGAAATGAGGTGATGAATATTATATTCAAAAATTTACAAAGATTTAATTAAAGAACTAGTGAATGCATGCCCACAACTATGTATTATGGATAATAATGAGTTTAATTCCATCCTAAAATTTTACCAAAAATATGACACAATACTAACAAAAGGGTGGCTTTGACCCGAGACATAATAAAATGTCTGTCATTGGGGTAAAGGGCCCTGATTATAGAGACCTTATAGATTATAGAGTTAAAGTCTGAGTATACAGAAGCTGCAGCTTGAGTAAGGAGTAAAAGTCAGTCTATATAGTTTCATTCCTTAAATCATCCTTTTTTTTCTTCCCACTCAGGTTTCTAGAACGTCCATTATGCCATTTGTTTGCACTTAAAAAAAACCAATTATATGTATATGGATATTTTGCCTGCATCTATGTCTGCTGTACCACGTGCATGTCTGGTACCCAAAGAGGTGCATGTCTGGTACCCAAAGAGGCCAAATGAGGGACTCAGGTCCCTCAGAATTTGAGTTCTGAACTTGAGATACAAGAGATGGTTATGCTAGCAAATACTCCTAGTAATGGGGGTCAGGGAGCCTGACTCAGGCATCTTCTGTAAGCAGGTAAGGTCTAAATTGAAGGGGAAGGGATACCAACCAAGCCACAAAATCTTCAACCTAACTGCAGAGTGTTCTGGGACTGGAGCCTAGCATAAACTGTCATCAGAGAGATTAGTCAGACTCCATCCAGCAACTAATAGGAGCAGATACAGTCAGTCCTATAGCCAAACACTAGGCAGAGCTCCCGGAGTCCTGTCAAGGTGAAGGAAGAATGTGAAGAACCAAGAAGGTTAAGAACACTCCAAGAACATGGCCTGAAGAATCAACTGATCGGACTCACAGGGGCTCACAGAGATCAGGGAGCCTGCAGGGGTCTGACCTAGTCCTCTGATACATGTTATGTCTGAATAGCTTTGTGCTCTTGTAGGATCCCTAACCAGTGGGAGCAGGGGCTATCTCTGACTCCTTTGCCTGCTGGTGGGAACCTGTTCCTCCTACTGGGTAGTCTAATCTAGCCTTGTTATGATGGTACATGCCTCGTCTTATTGTTGCTTGTTATGCCATGTTTTATATCCCTGAGAGGCCTGCTCTTTTCTGAGGGAAGGCAAAGTGGGGGGAATAGACATAGAGAAATAAAGGGGAAGGCTGGGGGGAGGGGAGACTGCAGTCGGGATATAATATATGAAAGAAAAAAAAAAACCATGATGGTTTTAAGTTCCCAAATAGGTGTTGAAAATTAAACCCGAGTCTTCTAGAAAAGCAACCAGTGTTATTCACCCCTGAACTATCTCTGCAGTCCTTTGTTTTCCTTTCTTAAGACAGACTTACTTGCAGCCCAAAAGGGCTTCTAAGTCATGGTGGCCTACCTAAGCCTCCCAAGTTCTGGGATTATGGTTCTATGTCAATCAGTATTTTCTCATTCTTAATTGCACCAAAGCTCCAGGTGGGTTTTGTTGGTGCTGGGACTTGACCTTAGAGCCTCATACATAAAGACAAGTCCTCTATATACAGCTATATTCACAGTCCACATCAAAACCCTATGGATAAAGAAATACTGCCTTTACAACTTTGGAATGATTAAAAAGTAATTAGTAGAGTGAAGTAAGCTATGGGACATAAATACTAGTCATAATATTTCTCATTCTTCTATATAATACTTTTACTAAAAGACATGTAAAGGAATGGACATAACTTCCGTTTTAGCATTAATATTTGGAGGAAAAGCTTGTATTATTTCTATGTACAAACAATTCTAAGAATCTACATGGTATGATGTTAAAAGCTTTCTTATGACAGGTAACAGACCTCAAATGAGCTGCAGGATAACTATTCATTCTATTACATGAATCTGAGAACAGAACATTCAAAGATATATATAGTAAACAAGTGCAAATTCAAGGAAGCCAATGGAACCTTTTTAGAGTACCATATGGCATAATCACTGAAAATTAGAATATTCAAGACTTATTTTAACAATCTCCTTTCTGTGGTATTTGGTTTGAGTTTTTGAAGCAGGGCTGTAGAGATCTCACTTCACACACCAGGCTACCTTTCCCTCCAAGTGCTAGGATTACAGGTACATTAGCACAGGACCTGGCATAACAGTCTCTTTACTATTCAAGCCTCGGCTTCAAAACACTACTTCAAGAGTTTTAGAATTCACATTTATTAATAACTTTTCTGAAATTAGAATGTTTTTGATACTTGTGTAATCTTATTTGCCATTGGATGGAGATGTAGGGTGTTTGTGTGATCCTTCTCCATTGGCATGGACTACCTAGTGTGATGAAGAAAGCAAGCATCTTAAAACATGAAACAGGGCAGAGTTTCAGTCTCCTTTAAACATTGTCTGCTTCTATAGCCTATATGGCCAGTAAAACACACTAAAAGAACATATTAACAGCAGGCATACACAAGCCTAAATTAAAGTTAACTGGCCTAACTTAGCCCAGTTCTTTTTTCCTCTTAGAATGTAAATGATAATATGTCGATAATATACTATAATGGGCACAACTAAGAGTATTAGTTTACTGGATTCAAGTACAAAGCACAGAATATGTCCCTAAGTCTCAATAATGAAATGAGAAAATCTTAGCAATGTTTTAACAACTAATAAATTCAACCAAGAAAACCTTGAACCATTGCTGGTAGCAGCTATATATAGTAGTAGTAATTAACAAATGTTCACAGAAAACTTGATAAACCCCCTTGAAAAGTAAAAATAATTACTGTTCATACAAATAGACACAGGAAAGGAAGAGAATAAAAGCTGGCTGACATTTAAAAGTCAATATGCGTCTAATTACCAGGCACATGCATTTCAGGAAGTTTGCCAATATACTATTTAGTGTGTACCTCCATTCCTTTAATTTGCTATCTAAAAACTACATTTCCTCACTATTTTCTTAAATGTTACCAGATAGACTTTATATCCAACTTTTAAAAGCATCTATTACTCCTTAGTATATATCTAACTATTTTCAGTGGAACAGGGCTTTACTGTTGTTGTTTAAGACAAGGGCTCAGTGTATAGCTTTGGCTGTCCTGAAACCTCACAGAGATCCACCTGCCTCTGCCTCCTGAGTGCTGAGATTAAGGCACATGACACCATGACTGGTTTCAATTAATTTACTAAGAGTAAGATATAAGATAATACTTTGGGAATATAAATTTCCAATTTTAAAGTGAAATACTTCTTTAAATGTTTTCTCTTTTAAAAGATTGTTTTGCTAAAGTGTATGCATAATTATTGCCAAGTAATTGTGGCAGCATTTGCCATGACAGAGTACATGTACTTCAATACAGCAATCACATGTTTTCAATCTCCACAGGAAGGCACTAATTCAGCACTGAAGTCATATACTTTAAGACAGAAATTCTAGCTCATTTAAAACCATGAAGCTGTTCTGTCCTTATGTTAAGTGAACATCACCATGATCTTTATAAACTACTAATGGCCCTTAAAGAACTGGTTCCTAACTAAATGCCTGGTAGTATGGCTATCAAGCAGGACTCTTGAAAACATTTACACAGAAGTAGTGTTAGATGAGAGGGTTTGACTGTGGCTTTTGAAGAACTAAGGATAGGTAAAACTAGTGTTCATTGTTCTTGACTTTTCAAACACAAATAGTAATAACTGTCTATTACTAGAAAAGTCCCAACATTGTTCCCATAAACACTTCTCAATTAAAAATGAGCAAATCCTGTTGGGTAACAGAACAAACATTAAATGGACTTCATTCACCATATGCTGACATCAGACATATACTGATTCATATCACATAGATACAAAAGTATTCCTTCAAAAACAATACAGTCTACTATTACCTTAAATTAACAATTTAAAATAAAGATGGATGTAGTAGCACACATCTATAATCCGAGCATTCAGGAGGCTGAGGGAGAAAGATCCAGTGGGGACGAGAATGAGATCTCAAGAAATCAAAACAAGAACCTAATAATTCTAAACTGACTTTAGGAACTGGAGAGATGGTAAGCAGTTAAGAGTATGTCTACTCTTCCAGAAGACTCAGGCTCAATTCCTAGGACCCATAAGGCAGCTCACAATCTTCTGTAACTCCAGTTCCAAGGAATCTGATGCTCTCCTCTGGCCCCTGCAAGCATCAGGCATGCATGTAGTGCACATACATACATAGAG